AGCATGGAATACTCTTTTTGGAAAACAAGGTAACATGCCTTTGCAAAATGATATTTCCTTTGAGCAAGAGGCAACACCTTGAATTTTGTTAAGAAATATTTACGTTGTGTAATTTGGCCAATTTTATCACACAGACCGCCTTCACTACCAAAATGGACCACAGAAAAGAAAGGGAGAAGCTCAGTGAGCAAGTACGCAGAGGACTCTGCAGGGCCTCAGCTTCCTGAGACCAGCGATCTTTTCTCCTGACAAGAGTAGTTACAGGGAGCTTTCCAAGATTGCACAATAAGCCAAACAACATGCTGAGGTTGGCCTGGTATTTGATGTTTAAAGGCCATGCTGTGTATTACGAGGCATAGGAGCATATTCCCAAATAGTAAATACAAAGTCTAAAACATTTGCTGCCAGCAGTTCGTTTATGCTATTTTAGTCCTACATGTGATGGTAAGGCAAATAGACTCTGTCGTTGCAGGCTTGGCGAGTCGCATACTCTGAAAGGGCATGTTGAATCAGTGGTCAAGCTGAAACGCTTGGACATCGATTCCATTCAGCAACATTACAGATTTTGAAAGGCATTGCATTTAAAGCAGAAGGGATTATATTGTGAGAAATGGAAAGGAGTCTTAAGATGGTGACGAATAAGCATATGGAGCTTTCATTTTTTAGGACAATGGAAACCACTGTTATATCAGTGAATCTGGTTTATAGATTTTTCATTTGATCGGTTCAATGCCTGCCAGGGGCTCTTTTACAAGAACTTCTGCTTCCATAGGTTGCCATACGCATGTTAATCAGTGAATCTGGTTTGGTTCCTAATGTTATATGTTTTACATGAGGCATAATCAAGTCAAATTCCGAAGATTGGGTTTGGCTAATTCCATTCAACAATACTGTAGGGCTGTTGGTATTTTTCCCCAATTTTTTGGGGATGAATCCGATGGGATTGTCTTGTAGTTGCTCTAGTAAATATTCTTTTAATAGATCTAAGAATTTTTGGAAACCATTGGATCAAGAATCATTTATGGATTGTGGTCGTTCTGGCAACGACATAGTCAAGGCTCCTAAATCCTTAATAATGATGAGAGGGCAAACTTTAAACGCTGCCATCTCGTCGTGGTCGATTCTCAGGGAGTAGTCTGTTTAAGATAAGACGATGATATTGTGGAACTCATTGAAATGTTTCTCTGAGTTTTGAGACAGCAGAGGCAGATTCATTTTATGCAATTTCAGCAAATCAAATTGCTAGAGCAAGTATAGATAGGATGAATTCACTGAGGTTTAGATAAACTAGAAATGTGATGATAATATATATTCCTGGAACATAAACATGCCCCTCGAGGCCTTGATAATTTCAATTGTATCATTTTCACATTTGTGAAAATTTGACAATGCACATTCACGTGGAATTTTAAATATTGACCACGCACATTCGCGAAAGGGATAACACTAGCTCTGATACCATGTTAGAAAGTCCAACCCATAAGCTTAAGCGGATAGGTGGTGGAAGACCACATGAATATGAAAAGCCTTTAAGACCCATTGTCATGCGATGTGAGACAATCTTTCAGCAGCTTTCTTTCTTTTTCTTGATGGAACTTGGTTTGGTGTTGGCAAGAACTCTGCGAGCAGACACAAGTCACATAACCGTGCTCGTCACTGAGAGGGGGACCTGTGCATGATGATGTGTGTGAAAGGTGGATTTAACTGGTCGGGTTGACACCAAGAATTAGAAGGGTGTCACATGAAGGAATAAGGCTAAAATGTTTCCAATGGGTGATGTAAGGACACCACACTGAGCATGTGATTCTAATGAAGGAGATGATGTAGAAGGGACTCGTGTATCTGTGTAGAAGTGTGGTTGGCGAATCTACCCCCTAAACTGAAATCCTCACTGGGATATTATGCTGAAGTTTCGGGCCATTGATGTTAGCGTGAAGGAATTGAAAAAACAGGCAAGAGAAAACTGGGCTAAGCAGAGAGGACGATGACGATAATGGAGATGGGTCTCAAAACTTTTTTTGGTCGAAGAGATGGGTCTCGATTTAGACAGCAAGGAGAGAACACCAATATCCTCACTAAGACATCGAGGAAGCAAGTCTACTGTCAGTGACTTGAAATTGATAGAAATCCTTCACAATACTTATCCAGAAAAGGCAGAAAGAAATGGAAGGTCAATTTCTTTTCAAAGTTGCAGAAAACATTCATCATAAAGATGAGAATACTCATATCTACAATGCCTACCAATTTAAATCGCTGAAAACAAAAATCGTCAAAAATTACATTTAGAACAAAGGACGTTTGCTTTGCTTCCTAAAAAATGCCTGCCGTAATCATCTTCACAAGCAGGGGGAACTGCAACGTCACGGACAAGGTCACTTAAACACAAGCAGATGCAGCAACTGCAATCAAAACCTGCACTTTCTTTTCACCAAACACCAGATACAGGGTGGCGTTGAAAGCTTCCATTGAAACGCCTCCCAATTATATACCAGAGAGACTTGGACTGTTGATAAGGCGGAGTCTGTTCAACGTGGAAGTAGCTCACTGGGACTCGATTTGCTCATCTAGAGTTCTCAAGTAATCTTCAATCATGAGCTTCAGAAGCTACGGATCAGGATGGTTATTGCAGCTCTGGTTTCTGCTTTTTAAACTGGTCCTGCTTGGTGATGACAGCTAATATTACATGCCAAAATGGACTCACCTCCATCACAAGAAGGGCATAATCCATGGTATAGCAATTTTAAATCTTGTTGTCGAGTGTCTGATCATGAAAATTTTTCTTGTTATTAAGTGACCTTCATTCTTCTGTAACTATTTTCATGATTGATTTTCTTGTTTTCCGGGAACTCACTCGGGTGTTGGTTCGCACTATACCTGGTCCATGATATTCATATATTATTTCATGGGCCTGACTTTCTTGAAGAGCTTATATGCAACGCTGGTGGAGCAGAGCTAGCGTACTATTGTGTGTGTAACTATCGTCTAAGGAAATTCTATTTATGACGAAAAAAAACAGACTTTTAATAGATGCACACGCATGATAAGATGCAAACACAATATGTGAAAGTGATTTCTCTACTTGCAATGAACGAAATAAAAATTCTTTTTGAACACCAGATGATATTTTGCATGGACTAGAGCCTTGCCTCCCCGTTGAAATGTCACTACCACTATGTGATGGAATAAGTCCTCCTTTCTGTTGTGGGTTGAGGTTGATCTTTCACTTTTTACAATTTGTTGAGACAGAATCGAATTTGTGAAAGTGAAATTTTCATCTGATGTCTGTGCTTTTGTATAATTTGAATCCACACAACGTCGCCGTACACGATGGGGAGAAAAGAAAGAAGAATGTGACCTTCTGTCAATACAATAGCATTAGCTATGTATGAGGTGGATCCTGCTTATAAAGATGAAACAAAAAGCTGAACTTGTTCAGGTAAGATAAAGAATTAACATTTCCAGATTGCCGGACAAATACTATAATTTCTAACAAGCCAGAATAAGTAATTGTTCACAAGACATGAAAAAGACAAATACAAAAATGTTATTAGATTGCTGGAAATTTACGGTGGAGAGGTCCTATGGCCCCACAGATTCCAACATATCGAAATCTCCACTCTTACCGTGAAGTAAAATTATAAAGCCAAATACCAATAAAAGAAAAGAAAGTATAAAGCAGGGAGAAGAACGTTCGAAGTGCTAAAAGTTATGTACGACGCTCACTTTAGTGCCACAAGTTTTTTTTGGATCACTTATGTACCAAATCGGAGAAAAAACGATAGCTTAAGTGCCAAATCGGAGAAAAAACGATCATTTAAGTGCCAATTCAGGCCAAATTGATTACGTAGCATTTATAATTAATTTTTTTAAAAAAAAAATTTAGTCCACATGGACTTCCAAAACGACATCGTACAATCCGACTAGCACTGAAATGATCGTTTTTCAACAATAACTGGCACTGAAGTAATCACTTTAAACAATAACGTCATTTAGGAGTTATATACTGATTGGGCATGCCGACGAGCCACATAGAGCTGGGAAACTGAAAAAATATGGCCACGTCGGATTTCCTTCGACTCAGATCAGAGTTAGCACTTAAGTGATCGTTTTCTTAAAAAAAAGTGGAACTTAAGTGATAAAAAAAAACTTTTGGCATTAAAGTGAACATCGTGCACAACTTTTGGCACTAAAGCGATCACTGTATGTCGGAGGTGAAAAATAATAGCATATAAGTGTCCGTATAAAAAGATCACCACATTGACGAATATTAGTTTACAAAAAGTTCTACTTGCCATCCCTATACTTTCAGTTTTACTTTATTTTCTAATCAATTCCTTGTACTTTTAATTTGTCTAACGAGCTCCTTCTACTTTTTCACAAATTTTTTAATCAAGTTCCTCCGACATCAAATGCGGCCAAATCCAACTAACATGACCGTCGAGTGATATTGTAGTGAGTATGACGTAATTAAATTTTTTCCAATGCAGACGTCCACATGAGCGTCAACATTGGGTAACAAGCCAAACATTGGAGTATGGAGAGGATACATAAGATTTTTCGCCCACTTTATATGAGGTTTAGAACAGTTAATGCATTTTCTTGCCATTTTTTTTTTGAGGTTTTGAAATACGTGAATGTTATTTTTTTATATTTTAATTGCAGGTAGATCCATACTTTTAATACCCAAGCCATTAGCTCCAATGAGAGAAATTTATCAACTATACGAGATGTGTTAGAAATCACACAGAAAAATCATTAACAGTGTGGATAAATACTTTAAAAGAATAGAGTGATGTTTATTTCATAGGTAAATACTTGCAAGTAGAGTGACATTAATTTCTTTCATAACTAAGAATGTCACCTACTCCATTGAGATTTACTCAACCTAAATATTTTTCTTTAGATATTTAGATTGCATATGGAAAAGAACTACTAGCTAGGCGAAGAAGCTGTTAAACTACCAACGGAATGAAAGGTACTTTTAAAAATTGTGATATTGAAAAAGATTGCATGAAATTGAAATATAATACTTGTTTATGAAATATCAAGAACAATACATTAAACATTTAAAAAGAAAAAGACAGGTGGAATGTTCTGTAGTATTCAATGAATCTCTGTTTCATGGCCGATCCTGCTGGCTTGAAGAAGGAATCTCCGTGGGAGTTGGCCAAGGGGGGAAAAGCGAGTACTTCTGAAAGCATTCCTCCTCTTTGCAGATCCGGGACACCACTCGGTATGACTCAATCAAGAGTCTCGGAAATCGTCTAGCGAAGTAAGCTTCCAAGCCATCAGGAAACGATCCGAGGATCTCCTGCCAGAATCATCACAGCAACAACAAACATGATCCTTGTATGCATGCAGCTGCAAATATCACCACAATTTGAGAGAGAGCGAGAGAGTACCTTAATTTCTTTTGGAGCTTCTGTGTAGTGGCTACACTTATTTCGCACGGCTCTCAATAAGTATCTGACACGGCTACCATCATATTTCCTACGTTTGCGTAGGTCGGCCATAACTTCAGGCTCTATTTTGTCGTCCCAATTCCCATCAAAAACCAGTTGTGCAGTGTTCTCTAATGCTTTCAGAAGATCTGAATTGGGTGCCCTAGCTTCCAATTCTACTTTATCGCTGACATCACCAAGAAAGGACAGTCTCATCTCTGAACTCCAAAAAAATGGATGGTGAAGCACCTCCGATGCCTTTGGCCTGCTAGTCATTAAAAGTAATTGACTATTGACCCAACATGCTCAACAAATCAATTACACGAACAACACCGAGATGGACCGACTTCCCGAGTTTAACATCATTGCAAGTTTGGCATATATGCAATCTCTAAAACAATTAGAATTGCATTAGCTCAATGAAAGAGAAACCAAAATGTCTGAAAACTTCCATGCACTTCACAACTCGCGAGTGTGGGATGAAGGCAGTAGTTTGACTACGACAAGAACCCAGAAATTATTTACGCCTGACTACCTTAAATTAGCAATCTAATCATTTAGTCCCCAGGATTCTTTATTTCATAGCGTGCGCTATATTCGAAACCCCTAGAATCTTCGTACGAAATCCTCTTCATTGTATGTATAGTAGATCTTCTCCTAACATTGCCCTAGGAATAATTGGAATTTATACGTTCGTGGGTGGGTAACAAACTTATGACCCTAACAACCAGGCTTCCGACAATGATCATCTTCCATTGGAATTCACAATTTTCAAAGGCATTTAGGCTACAACACGGTCAACCTTTTCTCCGGCTTCTATTGTCAATTGCAGGAAGAAATGAATGGAATCTGCACATTTTTTGCTCATCAAGTAGAGCCCCACCAGCAGGACAGATATTTAAGCCATGTTCGACCAATTTCGGGCCACCTTTAATACTCATGAGATTAAGTGATGCAAGAAAATGGAAATCAGTCAACTAACAATGAGTACAAAATCTATCAAATGGTAGAATGAAAACGATAGAGATGCAAATTAAGGACGACAGCACACTCACCTCAATTCGGGATCTTTGTTTAGCAAACGTGAAAACAGATCGTGAGCTTCTGGTATGAATTCCACCAAGGACAGGTTCATTTTGTTGCAAGCAATATTTAAGTCACGTTCTAGATGTTCACCAAATGGATGTCTTCCACGAGTGACGCAGAAGAACAAGACACAACCTAAACTAAACAAATCCATTTGCCGTGTCTGGCGCCCACCACCATGAAGAAGCTGTTCAGGTGCTAGCCATCCTGAAGTTCCACAACCTGCAAGACAAACATCGAATATCAATAGAAGAGCCCTCATCACTAGGACCATGTAAAAGGTCGATATGATATATTCACCAATCAACGAAGGAAGACCATGGCAAAGACTATTAAATTTCCACAAACTCTACCACAGCAGAAAAAGCAATACAAAGCAACCTGACTTCCAACATAACAGTCTTCTTTAAAAGAAGAGATTGCTCTAACAAGTAAAATTATAGTTTTGAAATTTTTTGCCGGGAATCTAAAGTGATTACCACTGTATAGATTCAGATTATGCACGGATCAATCTTGAGGAAAAGAAGATCAAAGGTCTGGAGAAAGCTATCATGAACACTTACCAGTGGCACGATATCCCAAGGAAGATCTATCTTTAGGAAGTCTTTCACTAATGCCCATATCACAAAGCTGAGCGCCAAACAATGGATTCTTAGTAATCAAGACATTTTGAGGTTTTAAGTCCCGATGGATTATTTCCAAGTCATGCAAATGGCCGAGTCCTGATACCACATCCCTGTATCATAATATAAAGAAGACATCATGACTTAAATCAACAATGTAGCTGGAACCAAATAGTATCCCGGCCACTTGAAGGCATTGGATACATAAACTAAGCCATATCCTGTTGAAAATTAAGGAATTTCTCTAACACATTAAGACCTAGTAAGGATGCCATAAGTACACTAGAGAAAAAAATGGTCACAGGTTCTTTATGTAAACTCTCCAACGAAAAACTCGGTACATAATTTGATTGCCGAATCAATCACATCAACATTTACCGATTTGAGTGCATGAGGATTCTGCAGCATTCATGAATCAAAAAGAAAGAAGGTATACTGATTTTCCCAAGATGGGAAAATCAATGGATTTTTCACTATGTAATTGATAAAACCTAATTGATTTCTATGAGAAGAAAGCTAAGAGTTTAGCCTTGATAGTGAGATTGAACATAGCCTATTACTCTAGAAAGGAAACTGCAAGGTTCAAAACTCAGCTCACGATGTTGATTGCATTAGGCTCACCACAGTCAAGGTAGTGACCGAATAATTCCCTGTAACATGCATCACTTTGAAGTTTTCTCAGAAGAACTATTAAGTCCTTCGACTAGCTCCTGATACCCACTTGAGCCAGCAAAGAGGAGTACATGAAGGTAGTGATCTCTATGAGATGCTTCTGAGTCATGTAAAATATATGTAAACAAGCTCACTACAAATACAAATATGTGACAATTGATTTTAGGAGTGTGGCAATAAGCAAGATACTGCAATTATCTCTCAAATCATACCCTTTTGGCATGTCAAAACGTAAAAATTACCTCATTAGTTTCAGCAACTGAGGCGAGGGATAACTATCTGCCCGCCACAAGTTAACATCCTGCATCATACCCCTAACGGAATCCAATTTGATTTTATAATTATCCAATGATGCTGGATCATGGTTATTTAAAGAAACTGACTGTGCTTGAATTAAATCATCTAAGCTACAAGTACAGTGCTCCAGTGCAAGATACACGAAATCCTCGTCGTACTCCACTCCATAATACCGAACAATATTTTCATGTCGGTCAGATGCTATCAAAATCTGAATCTCCTTGGAGGCAAACTCACCATGAGCCTGGACAAGGCGTTTCACTGCAACATGTCGATCTTCATACATGCCCTCGAGGACAATGGTCCCATTATTTCCCTTAGCGATTTCATTCCTTGATACGGAGATTTTACCAATTTTACGCCATCCAATGCCACCATCAGGAAGGCTATTGGGCTTCATCAATTCGTCATCGTTGCTCCTGATATTGACAATCCTGCCTTCATTTCCTGAAAAGACATATTCCACTTATCTGTCAAAAACTCTATAATTGATTTTCTTTTATAATCTCTTGAGAAAGTGCCTACGTGTACATCGAAAGACAAAACCGTGAGACTTGGTATGGAACGTGCTTAAACAAGCAATTCGTCAAATGACAAACCACACGGAAGCTAATACCTCAAGTGAGCTAATTAAGGGGCAATGTGGTAACAAAGCGAGACCCCCTCTAGTAGGTGTGTGGTTCGAGGACGAACCACACGGAAGCGAGTGGTCTTGTAATAACTCAATTCCACGAAGGCAGGGAGTAAAAGGTTGTTAACTTTCACTCTTTTGATGACGGAGCTGAAGTCCTCCATGAACATGTCCGCTTGTTAAAAAACCCACTGGTTGGTGAATTCGCTGGTAACTCCGGGATGGGGTCGAAACTCTTTGATGACATGCCGATTAAAAATATCATCCATAATTAGTCAACATTAAGCAAGGATAATTGCCGTTATCCTCATCTTCCCGGAGTTGATCAAAGCCAGATAGAAACGCGGAAGGTGAATACGTTGGAGATTGATTCTTGGGCGAATTGCAAGTTCAACGAGCAGAAGGAGATCCAAGTCCAGGAATAGGTAAATGTTCTCCAGAGGATTGTGGTGAAGAAGAGAGGTAAAAATACAATCTTAAGAAGGAAGGAGCAGATCCCGAGTAGTGGCTCTATAAGGCTGGCAGGTGATAGTGGTGGAAGGCAAATCCCGCCAATCTCTCTACGTGTCCAAATTAGACTGGAGAAGGTAAAGCGATTGTCTGGATGATGGAGTAGCTATACCGGCGTTCTGCCGGGATCGTGAAAGGGTGACTTATAACATTCCTATACATTTCAAAGAATTAGAAGAACTTTTACTTCGTTTAAAAGATGACATACATTGACACCCAAAAATAACCTATCATCGACAAAGAATTAAGTTATGTGGTCAAATCGGTGAGCACCCATTGCAAGATTGGCGTCGGACAATTAATGATGCCATTGATGAAAGGGAGATTGAGGCAGTTGTCGACGTACAACAACGACCGGTAAACCACGTTTGAAGGAAGTCAAATCGAGAGGAAGCCAAAAGATCACAACTGCTTGTGGACAAGAATATGCAGTTAAAGATCGCGAGAGCGGAGCCAAGAATGTCAGAGGCAATTGAAGTTCTTGACTTAGAAGATAACCGCTTTCGATGGTTACACTTTGTACAAGGCTATATAAGGCGGAGCAGAATCAATGTAAAGCATCCGCGATCAACAACACTTATCAAATTTTTCTGCAGTTTTAATTCATCGATTATATATTCGTACTTGCAATTCTTTGTTCTTTATCTTTTATTTAGCATTCATAGTTTGTCTCATATTCATTGTTTCTTGTCCGAATCGCCACAGAATCCAATTTACTTTAAGAACCAAAGATTCAACCTTTGGTGAAAGGTCTTTCTTCGGCGACCATTTTTTGCGAAACAAGAATAAATGAGGCTGATGACGTTTTTCAGTGCTTGTAGACTATATTCTTAAGGATCGTATGTGCTTACTATAGCAAGAGGAGCAATAGCTAATGTGTAAGATTTTCTATATGGCCCAAAAAAGTTGGTAAAAAATCTAACCAGTTCCAACAATACAGCATAGCTTGAAATAATCCCTTAACCACCTATCCTTATGGTCTGGCAGCTTTCTAGCCATGACCCCTTTCAGTGTTCTACATTTCAAGGTTGAACTCATACTTTATCTTATAGAACAACTCAGATTTGACAATCTCAATGTAGAGAGCATACCTTCGTATTTGCGGTCGACACCCTTAGAGGAAGAATGTTCGGTATTATCGGTTTGCTAACCTCCACCTGTGACAAAACTTGTGTAAGCATGTATTCAGTGCATCAAATAAGATTTCTACCATGTGTCAAACGGTTATAGAGGTTGATGCTTAGATTCAAACCGCCGAACGTGAAAAGAGACCAAACGAGTTTTGAGATTTCATTTACGTATTGATCGAGTATGGCCTTGTATGAGTAGCTTGTCAAACGAGTCTGAATTACAAGAGAACAGTTTGGAGAATGGAATACCTTCTATGAGCCACTCATCCCAATTTATTCACAGCACTTTGGATTAAGAATTAACTTGAACATGAAGGAAGCACCACATCAGAAATTTAAGATATCGGTACGGCGGTCAGCACTTTTTCGCACCACATCATAGATTTAAGATACCAATACAACGTTCAACGCTCCGGATTGAATATGTAACAACACCTCTGGAAAGCATGATTAAACTAACTGGCACAAATAAAAGTTCTTTGCTTGTATATCGCAGAAAAATACTGAAAACAGTTTAAAAAAAAAAAAAGAAGGCCCTTTTGAAAGAGGAAAAATTATAACAGACCAAAAGAAAAAAATATTCTGAATGCGTTAATGGGAGACATGACACGTGCTTATCAAGTGCCATCCTCCATCTATGCGGTCCAGTAGGAAAATCAGTAGTGTTGGTTACCTCGGATGAGCTTTCCGCTTCAATTAAACGGCTAATTGAATCGGGCAGCTGGATCGATGAAAGACAGTTGCGGGCACTGAATCTTGTAAGATTTTTCAAATGACCGACGGAGGCAGGAATTTCTTGAACAGCAGTTCCATCTATAAGAATCTCTTCCAAGGACATGAGGAAACCCAGCTCTTCAGGCAACTTATTGAGTTCAGTGCAAAACCTCAAGTTCAGTGAAACCAAGCTCTCCAGACTTTTTACTGAACCGATTTCAACCAATCGATTGCACTTTTCAAGAATCAATCTCTCTAGACGTTTGTAATGAGATAAGTCTGGAGTTCTGATCAAGTCAACACAACCGGTGAGGTTCAAAACTTTCAAATTCCCGGCTTTCTGTCAAAGGGTAGAATAACAAAAGAGTTAATTTTTCCGCAACAATTTGAAAAATGAAATTAAAAATAATATACTTCTCTACCTCGATTTCACTCCAACCATTCCATTTTTCATGGACCTTGCTCCAGGAAAGATCTAGAATAACCAACTTTTCCAAATCCAAATTTTGAGCACCAAGATTCCGAGGACAACCTTGCCAATGGAGCCATCTTAAACTTGACAGAAGCCCCTTAAAATTTCCTTCGAGGTTCGCCTGATCCAATCGAAGGAATCTTATGTTCGACATATTCTCAAAATGTGCTGGTCCAAAACTCCATTCTGACCCACTGTCAAATTTGAGAAGAACACCTTCAACGCGTTTCGTTCCCTACACGTGAAATATAGGATTGCCAAGGGACTTAGCATTTCCCCGGAAAAATATGTGAAGATGATAAATGCTTAGAGACTTCAAACTAAAGAAGTCATTTTTATTACGGGTCTTTTGTTTCGTGGAAAGTGAATGATTTGGAAAATAACTTCCTAAATATGATCGCTCGTATCTCTTACAAAAATAAATGAACAAAAAATATTTTCATCGTCCATAAAAATATGTAAACATCAATTGTTATCAATAAAGAAAAATTTTAATCAACTAATTATTCCAAGATATAAAAGTGATCATTTTTGAGAAAATGTTTTAAATCAGTCATTTTCCGCGAAACAAACGGACCATAAGTGTCTTTTTTTTTTTTTGACAATCGAGGTGTCCGCGCGGCCGGCGAGCTAGGGCTCAAACCGGCGGTGATGCCCGACTAGTCCTCGAGGGGGGCTAGCGCAGCATCCCACCGCCACGACCCCTCACTTAAATCACCGATGGGCGAGTTTGAACCCAGGACCTCTCGTGAAAGGAACTGAGCACAAACCAACGCGGCCACCGATGGGTGGGTTGACCATAAGTGTCTTTCCTCTATGAAAAAAGGAAAACAAGTTGTAAGGCATACAATCAATAGGTAAAAAACAGTGATGAACTTGTATCTTACTTTTTCATTTGTCGCACATCCAAGGCATCCTCGTGCATCCACAATCATCTGCGCTTTCCAAGTTCACGATGTTCCAATTTGACGATATCCCTACCTAGGTCTCGAAGTTGATCATGCATCCACAGTTTGTTGTTCTCAATCTTAACAATAGATGAGAGGACGAGCACTTTTAATTCCAATTGGCTTGTGGCATCACAGTCGGACCACAGGTAGCATGCAACACTTTCGTCCTCTCCTATGAAGAAACAAGCAATGTCCAGAAATATCTTTCTTTGCTTGTCAGGTAATGCTTTGATGATTACCATCAAATTCTGTTTAACATGTAGCTCAGGTACTTTTTCCAACTCGTCCAAGGTTTTCTTCCACACGTCCTTGCTTTTAGAAAATAGATACGACCCGACAACCTCAATAGTCAAAGGAAGCCGGTCAATAGTTGATACTATATTTTCGGACAGAGTAGCAAAGTCATCTGGAGCAGGTTTCTCCCTGAAGGCATGGACGTGGAAAAGTTTAAGGGCTTCATCTCGTTCCATTCCCCCGACCTTATATTTCAGGAACACTTTAAACTCATTTGAAGCTCGTTCATCTCTGGTGGTAATTACGATCCTGCTTCCAGAGCCTAACCAATCAAGATTTCCTAAAATTGATGTAAGTCCAAAGCTTGGTTCAATATCATCGAGAACAATGAGAACTTTCTTGTGAAAGAATCTGCTTCTGATGGATCTAATCCCATCATCAACAGAATCAATTTGTCCATGCATTTTACCTAGAAGGTCAGAAATCAACTGACGTCGCAAATTTACTAAGCCTCCGGGTTTTTTGGCATTTTCTGTAACGCTTTCCAGAAAGCTACAGCCATCAAAGAGACGAAATATTCTTTTGTAAATTAACTTTCCAATTGTTGTCTTCCCGGTGCCCCCTATGCCATGTATTCCAACTCCACGAACTTCGCTAGATTCCATATTTAGTAATTTCATAACTCTTTCCACATGATGCTCGATGCCAACGAAGTATCTGTTCAATACCCTCAACACATTTGCGACAAGTACTTCGATGATTGAAGCATGTGTGCGTGGGCTATATCATGCGTGCACGTGTGCACGAGGCACATGCACAAAGATTAACGTAAGTCCAACAATGTCTGAACTCTGAAGTAGTTTGCAAGAAAAAAATTCACGCTCTCCTTTCAAAAACTATCAAACAGCAATCAGCTTTAGACAAACAGGCCACGCAATTAGTGGCACATATTTGTACTGAATCAGCAGAGACAAAGCACGGTAGGATGAGATGCAAAGGTTGTCAGTTGCATCGACAGAAATTAAGCAAATCGGTATCGCTCTACACTGGCATTTTCTCGCAAGAGGTAGATTTCCAGTAGATGCAGATTCCAAGAGGAAGAACATTTTCCTGGACCCATCTTAATATAAAATCACAACCATAATTGCTGCCTCTAAGTTAACCGAAAAACTGAGTCATGTGCTTGCAAAGATGTGTGTAACATAGGAATACTGAAATTTATCAACAAAACCAAAACATTAAGTAATGTGGCGAGCTGGGAGCAAGAATGTAAACAAGTGGATCATATTGAGAACCAGATCAGAGCGAGCTACATCAGGTATTGATACACCTAGCGTTAGTCTAATTAGATTAACTAAATTGAACTAAGCGCTACTTGGCATTTGGATGCTAGGTTACTCAATCGAACTTACTCAATTACACTTACCCATCACTCTCCAGCCCTGGGATGGATCCCACACGGATGAGAGCTTCCTCCCATTCCCCGATGGTGTATGGGTTGACTCCTCTCCATCTATACTCGGCGATAGCCCCGGCGTAAACCTGGGATCTGCGCCTCACGACCGATGGCGTGACGTCGAGGAAGACGGGCATGATGAGCAGGCCCATCGTCTTATGGCAATCCACAATCAGAGCCAGCTGTCGGAGGCACCTTGTGCTCGACGCAGATTTCTCTGACAGGATCGGAATGGCGATCTTGGAATGCCTGATCGCGGTAAGCGACCGCTCAAAACTCTCTCCCAGGGTGAGACCCTCTTCATCCGTGAACACGCGGATCCCCGCTTGGTGGAGGCTACGGTAGAGATGATCCACAAAGTCGCGGCGAGTATCCGATCCGAAGCTCAAAACAACATCGAAACTCGTTTCTCTTGTTTCGGAGGATCCTCCTCCACGGTTGTGAGAATTCTCCATTTCCAGCGCCTCCTTCTTACTCTCAAAATGAAATCGGTTTTCGTGTTGGGGGGCCTGCTTCTCTCAGTTACGTCTCTCTTCCTTACTCTTATTTCAAAGATCCACCTACCAGTTTCATAGTACGGGAGTTAGGTGCATAAGGGGGTCTTTAACCGGCCGACCATTATTGCAAGACGGATGTAAAAATATAAAAAGAAAAATTTAAAAAAAATAAAAAACAAAAACACCAATGACCTTTGACTTTTGCAATATGGACAACCGCGTGCTTAAACTTTTCCTTACCAATTCAGTCTTCGAATTAAATGCCTTTATTTTTTTTATTTTTTGTTCGACACGTACAGAGGAAGACTTCTAGAAGTGAAAAGGAAAGGCCCTCTTGGATCTGTGAATGGAGCGGACATTCACAGGATAAAGTCTAGGGCTAGAAGCCAATGGCTCAGTACTTTTCTAAGTCAAGGTCAATTAACCAGTCTATTTGAATACATCAATTATATATGAGTTGACTGTAATTACTTTTCAATAAAGAAGTGATAGTGGGTGAGAAAATATTGGGTATCACTGTGATTCCAGGTCAGAAAAAAAAAAATCCATTCTTCGTGCGTCACGTGTCCCTCGCAGGTCCACTTGTCAGAAAAATTTCTCTCTTCTGCACTTACTTTTCGTCTCTCTTCTTTGCGTTCACCATTGCTCTAGAGCTTGAGCTTGAGCCCAACATCTCAGCCTCCATGGCCATATAGCTCGGGCTCGCGGTTGCAAGCATGTTTGAGCTTCAAGCTCGCGGCCATGGCTAGCTGGCCATGGTCACTCGAGTTTTGAATCCCGTCCATAACTGCTAGATCCAGAGACTTATGGCCAAAGATGCTCAATCCGTAGTCTAGCCATCGCCATAGCCGCAGAGCTCGGATTCGAGCCTAGAGCGTGAGCTCTAGCACAACCTTTCGACCATGGCTGCCATATATTGAGCTGGCGGCCATGGATGCTCAAGCTCACAAAAGCCGTGTAGATGGAGCTTCGAGCTTGCGGCTATGGCAGTTAGACCCAGAGTCTCGTGGCCATGGATACTTGATTTGAAAACTTGCAGCGGCCATGGACGTGGAGTTCGAACTTGAGCTAACGGCCATAGCCGAGAAGAAACCGCAGTAAAGAGAGAGAAGAGAGGGGAGAAAGCAAGTGCAGAAGAGAGAGATTTTTCTAGTAGGTGGGCCTGCAAGGGACACGTGGCGCACGAAGAATGGACTTGTTTTTTGCTGACCTGGAATCACAGTCATACCCAATATTTTCTCACTTGTTAAGGACACTAGGGAGCATACATCAAGGAGCACAAGAAGGCGACGACTCGGGATTTGTTTTTAGTCAATTAACAATTAAATTTTTAGTCAATATTTAAAGGCATCTCTAAATTCCCCATATGAGCATATGAAATATATGAAACAACAACATTGGACGGAGAAGGGGGTACAGATTTTGTTCTTGATGACCTTGAATATTTAGAGGGAATGAATACTCCATCGAAACTAAAAAAAATGATGATCTTGTTGAAGTTCGAGGTCTTGGTAGATCCAAGTTCTTGGACAAGTTGAGCATCAACTCATGCAATTCCATTGAAACGATGGATCTTTCTCAATTGAAACATTTGAAGAAAGTAAATGCTAATCGTTGCGAAAATCTAATTGAAGTTCAAGGCCTTCATAGGTCAGAGTTCTTGAAAGAGTCAGATATCTCCTAGTCTAAAATCATTGAAAGGCTAGATCTGGATATCTCCTAATCCAAATTCATTGAAAGGCTAGACCTTTCACAATTTCATTATCTAAAGCAATTGAAAGCTTTTGCTTGGGAAAATCTTGTCGAAATCCAAGGGTATATGAGTTTCTTGGAAACGTTAGATGTGTCGTAATGCAAGTCCATTGAAGGACTGGATCCTTCACAATTAGATCGTTTGAAGCTATTGAAGGCATACTCTTGTGCAAATCTTGTGGGCATTCGAGGCCATGATAAGTTTGGGTTCTTGGAAGAGTTGGATATTTCTTGCATAGCCATCAAAAGGCTAAAGATCCCACAAGTCAATGGTCTAAGGAGATTGACTATTGCATATTCCCAAAATGTGGTCGAAATTCAAGCGGTTGTTAGATGGGAGCTGTTAAAGAATGCAAAAATTTACTTGAAATTCAAGGCATTGATAAACTGGAGTTCTTGGAAATGTTGGATATCTCATTGAGCAAGTCCCTTGAAAGGGTGGACCTTTGTCAATTAAAATGTCTGAAGCAAGTGATGGTTTGAGAATGCGAAAGCCTACATGAAATTCAGGGGCTTGGTATGTTGGAGTTATCGGATGTCTCTCGGTGCAAGACCCTCGAAGGCTGGACCTTCCGCAATCAACTCTTTTGAAGCTATTTGGCCATCAACTAGTTGAAATTGGAGGCCGTGGTGATCATATGAAGGAAGCTGTTGGATGTTGCAGGTTGTCATTATCTAGTCGCAATTTGATCCTAGTTCTTAGAAGAGTTCGATATCTCTTAGTGCAAGTCCGTTGAAAGGCGTTAACCATAATTTAGTTGTATGAAGCTTTTGACTGCTACGAATTGCAATATCTTGTTAGAAAATTCATGGCCATAATAGGTAGAGGCATGCGTGGAAAAGTGGAATATGGCTGGATGCAAGTCCATTGAGCGGCTAGATCTTTCAGATTTAATCTCTGGAGCTATTGATTGCTGGAGTTTGCCAAGATCTAGTTGAAATAAGGACTTGATAGATTGGATTCTTGGAAGAGTTTGATATCTCTAGGTGCACACTTTGCGAGATCCCCCGACAATGTGATGCGCATGATCGATGTTGTCCGAAATCTGTAAGTCACGTGTGAATTTGTAAGCTCTGCCCAATAACAGCCCAAACTGCATCAGTCAGCCCAAACAAGAGGAGGCATTGTTTGGTAGGTGGCATGTGGGTTTAGTTCAAACCAATTAAAATCCATATTTAGTTGGGCTTTGCTACTCTAAACCTACAACAACCCATTCTTTAAATTTTGGCTAACCTAATTACGATACCCCCATTTAATATGAGTTTTTTTTTATATTAAATATGAGTTAAAAAGTGGATCTTTAACCTAGTTTGAGACCTCTCCTTAATCTCAATGACCCATGTGACCTAAGTAGCACGGACACGCGACATGCAACATGCGACACGACACAACACGACACGCGACACGTCATTTCTCAAAAATAGAGAATTCCGACACGTTGGGACACGTATATTAAATATATATGATAAATTGTTATTTTTAAATTTGATTCAAATAAATAAATAAATAATAATAAAAAGCCAGGTTTTTTAAAAAAAAGTTTTCAAAAAATAATTATATATAAATAAATATATTAGTTAAGAAACTAAAAGTAAATAATTAAATTTGAAAAAAGGAAAGTACAAGATAAAAAATAAAAAAAAGCAGCCAGCCCACTTTCCTTTTCTTTCCCTAAATTTTCTCGTCTTTTGACTCTATCTCTCTATCTCTCATTTCTGTATCAATCTCTCGCGCTCTCTCTCTCTCTCCCTCCCTCTTCTCCGATCAGATCTCCGGCAGTTCTCGCCGCGAATACTCCGATTCGCTCAGCTCGCTCATCCATGACGCTCGGCTCGGGAGGATCGGGGGTCGTTGGTGAGTTCTCAAGACCCTTCCCGACCTAGATTTCCAGATCCTCCCTCCCCCCGGGCAAATTCTCTCCCCCCATCCTGACCGATTCTCAGATCCCCCACCTCCCCGTTCCCCATTTCTCCGAGAGGATTCGTGGTGGGGTTCGCAGCATCCGAGCCTCGATTTGGCGATCGAGAGATCTGACGAGAGGGGGCTTTTCTTTCTTCTATCTCCCTTTTGCTCCGGACTCGCGTGTCGCCGGCGTGTCCGGCGCGTTGACCGCGTGTCGGATCTCCGACACGCGTTGAGTGCGTGTCGGCGGCTTGTTGGAGCGTGTCGGACACGCGACACGTGTCGGACACCGATTCGGAAGCACAAATAACGTGTCCGTGCTACTTAGCATGTGACAACAAAGCCCACTCTTACATTGGAAACAAACATTAGAACAGAATGAATCATACAAGTAAAAACCAGTAACTCACTATCGAGCACCCGGTCCTCAATCATGGCTTCAAAGCAGTCTTGGTCGAGCAAGAACATACAACGAACAAGCAATCCTCCATCTGTTACAGATGCTTTTGACCTCATCAGGAACTTCTTTTTTCCCTTCCTGAATTAATGACTCGAACATAGTTTTCACTGAGAAGAGTATAGCAGCAACAACTCTATTCATTTGGGGGTTAACTAGCTCGTGTATCCACTTATTTCTCTCCTTCCAGATGTTGCCTATTGTAGCATTCCACCCAAGTTTCAACAGAGCAACTTTCAAGCTTTTCCATTTCATCGTCTGCAGGGTCCATGAAAACTCTTGATCCTAGTCTTCAGCTTGTCTTTGTATTTTCAGGAGACATAAAATTCTCTGCCACACTTTTTTCGAGAAAGGATATTGAAAGAAGCACGACTCAAAATTCTCTTCACATTATTCCGGGGGAACTTTTAATTCCTTAGCAAGGTTTTTCTGTGTCAAATTGGACCAGTAGAAGAATGTTGATTCAGTTCTACCTGTTTCAGACAATCATATTCTTTTTTGTCATGATTATTCAAGCGTGGAAATTTTATTCCAGGCAAGGTAGATTTGTTCCATTGGTGCTCAATTTGGATATCCCAATTAGCAAGTTATCATTTCATGTTATACTTGATAATACTTTGGTCCTCTTGATCAACGAAACATAGACCTAATCATACTATGACGGAGCATACATGTCCTCTGAGGCGAGAATTCCTTGACGGACCATTGTGTACAACACAATTTACTGTTCCAGAATTGTCTTCTTCATGTGGCATAGTTGTGAGTACATCAAGAAAAAACCCAAGCAGAGACAATTGAAAAGTTACTCAGATCAATCAAGAACTGCAACTATTTTGGTTCACCTTATGGATTCGTGAAATCATGCTTAAAGAGATCCACATTATTTTATTCACTGAAGTTGTGAATGGCACACGTCATGACACAAGTACAAAATTGAAAAGAAGCTAC